ATGGCCTCCAACCTAATAGCAATGGCCTCTAACCTAATAGCAATGGCCTCCAACCTAATAATAGTGATGGCCTCCAACCTAATAGTGACGGCCTCCAACCTAATAGCAATGGCCTCCAACCATAATTGTGATGGCCTCCAACCTAATTGCAATGGCCTCCAACCTAATAGCAATGGCCTCCAACCCAATTGCAATGGCCTCCAACCCAATTGCAATGGCCTCCAACCTCATAGTAATGGCCTCCAACCTAATTGTGATGGCCTCCAACTTAATAGCAATGGCCTCCAACCTAATAGTGATGGCCTCCAACCTACTGTAATAGCAATGGCCTCCAACCTAATAGTGATGGCCTCCAACCCAATAGCAATGGCCTCCAACCTAATAATTGTGATGGCCTCCAACCTAATTGCAATGGCCTCCAACCTGATAGCAATGGCCTCCAACCTAATTGTGATGGCCTCCAACCTAATAGTGATGGCCTCCAACCGAATAGCAATGGCCTCCAACCTAGTAATTGTGATGGCCTCCAACCTAATTGTGATGGCCTCCAACCTAATAGCAATGGCCTCCAACCTAATTGCGATGGCCTCCAACCTAGATGGAGACGCTGAGAGGATCAGAAGAGTTGATCATGATCACACTCAGGATAGCTCCGCTGCGGTTGTTTGATTTCTTGCCGAGCCCACAGGCTGCTGTAGATCTTGTTTGGTTGTTGTTTGTTCAACGTCGTTTTGGTTAAACCGGTTCACTTGCAGATCCCACTGTCACGGTCATTTCAGGAGTTTCCTTATTCTGTTACGTGTACCTGTTGGTACAGTGGATTGGTGCAGGATCTGTCCGAAGGGACAGCGCTCCGGGTCTCCGAGAGTGCACTCCCGCCAGGTCAACAAAAGTACAGGTATGCCTCAGCCTCAAACCTCACAAGGAGGATCCACTCAAACGCTTCCAGCAGTTCCAGCTTTACAGGCACCGAATGAAAGAGGGATAGAGAGACTCTGAGAGAGGCTACTGAGTCCTAGATCGAAAGGAACGGGCACTTCGGAGTCGGGAATCTATTTTGAACAAGAAGCATAGTGTAGGATTAAGGAATATAAGATGATTTTAAGAAGCACACAAATCTTTCTTGTACGCGCGACCCACAAGCTACGCCAGGGCTAGCTTAGTGACTAATACAAACACTGTGTTTAGTATGCCGGCTGAAGCGCAGTTGCCACAGTCTGCAGGCAGAAACTATAACTGCAATGGCAGCATTTCATGCAGTTCATGCAGGGAACTCAGGGAGGCAGGAATAGGCAACTCTGAGAGGCTCGACCAAACCCATGTTTCCCAAGAGCGCTGCGTATTGACACCGCAATCGCTTCAAGAACATGGAGTTTCATTTCTTTCCACGGCAAGTGTCCTTTGCATGGCTTGAGTGGGAGAATCACCAGAACCATTTGGCACTCGTGGAAAGACCAGGGTCATCCACCATGCGACCGCTCAGAAAACCGACGGAATCCCGGTCGTGGTTCGAAGGTCGTTCGCAGCCATTTGTGGGTGAGCGAACTTGGAGTTGCCGATTTGCCTGCCTTTTTTGTGGAAACAGTCTCAGCAAGAAAGATCCTGAAAGATCATGTTTCCCAGGTCAAGACTTGCTTCTTTTGCTTCCTTGAAGGTTGTCCAAGTGTTGGCACCATGACGTCTGTGCCTGTGCGTTGGGGAATTATTGGCTGCGGAGATGTGACTGAAGTAAAAAGTGGACCAGCTTTTCAATTGGCGACTGGTTCACAGCTTGTGGCTGTCATGCGCAGGGATGCGGAAAAGGCACGGGACTATGCGGAGAGGCACAGCGTTCCCAGGTGGTACAGTACAGTGGAGGGCCTTCTGAGTGACCAGGAGATTGATGCGATTTACATTGCAACTCCTCCAGGGTCCCGTGTGGAGATTGCGGAACAAGTTGCAAAAAGTGGGAAGCCATGCTATTTGGAAAAACCCATGGCTCGCAACTTCACTGAATCCCAGCTCATCGCTCAAGTTTTTGAGTCAAATTCGGTGCCTTTGTTTGTTGCCTACTATCGAAGGTGCTACCCACGATTTGTCCGGCTCAAGGCACTTTTGGCCTCTGGCCAGTTTGGGCGAATTTCCAGTGTGCAATATCGGCTGGAACGGCCAGCTGCATCCTCCACCGGTTGGCGTCAAGATGTGTCAACTTCTGGGGGAGGTCTTTTCGTTGACCTTGGGTCCCATGTCTTGGCTCTCTTTGTGAAGCCTTTTACCTTTTCAATAAAGAAAATAGCAAAAGGTACCCAATGGCGACAGCCTCCAACCTCACAGCGATGGCCTCCACCCTAGTAGCAATGGCCTCCAACCCACCAACGATGGCCTAGTAGCAATGGCCTCCAACCTAACAAGTTATTTTTTAACAACCATCTCTTGGGCCCTCTCAAGATGACCGAGGTCCCATGTCTTGGACCTTTTGGACTTTCTCTTGGGCCCTCTCAAGATGACCGAAGGGGTGGCAGCTAGGGCTCCTGATGCACACCCTTCCTCTCCGGAAGATGTTGTGGCGATCTCCTTTGCTTTTGGCTCCCCCACGCAGGGCATCGGCACAGGACTTTGGAACTTTAATTCTGCAGAATCCTGTGATGTGTTGGAAATTACCACCTCAAAGGCCAAGATCTTTGTGCCAGACTTTATGAACGGCCGAGTTGTTTCAGTGAGAGGTCCAGACGGATCAAAGTTGGAAGAGTGGGAGGAGATTCCACCCAACACCGTGCAGCTCCCCATGATTCAAACCATTACCAATGCCATTGCCGAGAAGAATCCAGCGCTTTGTCCAAGCACTGCGACGTCGGGTCTACGAACAGCCTCTTACATTGATCAAGCCTTGAATGGCTTCTATGGCGGTCGCGCAGATGCATTCTGGAAGAGAGTTGACACATGGACCTCAAACCAACATGGCGTCCAACGCTGAGGTGAGGCAGCAGGGGACACTTGCTCTGCAGCCGTCAGTCAGTCAACTCAAAATATGTGCCGGGCGTTTTGGCCATGTGAGATGAGTACTCCTAAATGTAGGCAGACTGATCCTCACTGATCCTTTGGAAGGTGTGCCCCCCCCCCCAAAAGTCCACGCCGTGAGCTCCTAGTAGCGTCCTTGCTCCTAGTAGTAAGGCCAGGAGCCCGTAGTAGTAGCTTCTCGCAGTCATGAGGCCATCTTCTCGGCAATGCCCTCGGCGATGCCACCGCTTCCACAACTGGGGGGATACCAGGCGCCTCCGCTCGGGAGATGCTGCGGAGGTGAGGGGGCGACGTAGATGACACAATGGCGGAGGTGTCAGACCCCCAATTTAAGAGGTACGTTCTCTCAAGTTAAGACTACAGTGACTACAGTGGCACCAAAGAAACGGCCAAACACGGCCTTTCCGTGGGATGCTCGATGAAAAACACCTGGGAAGAATCACCTCTCAAAACGCCATTGACTCACATGGACGAATTCTCCACAACGCTCGACACCAAAGGCGTGAAACCCCTAGTAGCAACAAGTGCATCGCTAGTAGTAACAAGTGCCTTACTAGTAGTAACAAGAAGCTAGTAGAAACAATAAGCTAATAGCTTCTTGTTCCTAGTAGTAAGGCACCTGTTACTAGAAGCGATGCACCTTGTTCCTAGTAGCTTCTTGTTCCTAGTAGTAAGGCCAGGAGCCCCTAGCAGCGTCCTTGCTCCTTGTAGCGATGCCAGGAGCCCCTAGTAGCTTCTTGCTCCTAGTGCATGGAGGTTCTCCACATTCCTTTGATCTCCTTCGCCTGGAAAGGCTTTTGTACGCTTGGATGTCTGTCAAGACATCCATTTGATGCACCCATGATGTTGATCAGAGCCATTTGGCGTTCATTCCCCACAACGACAAAGGCGGCTAAGGCAACGACAGAAGCATCTTGCCTCAGACACATCAATCTAATCTACTGCTTTCTCAAGGAACCATGCCCACGCAAGCAGAAAACAAATTTGCAAATGGGGATTCGGTGTCGCAGCTCCCTGCTTTAGTTCCTGTTGCACAGTCAACAAATGCACCTGCTGCTGCTGCTGCTTCTGCTCGTAGGGGTGTTGTTATGGTGCAAGAGGGGCAAGGTGACTCTGGTTTAGTGGGTGAGGTGTAAAGGTTTAGCCTTCAGGCAGATTCAATTTCTGCAGTCTGTATTCGGTTGTGAATTCTACTCTGCCAACAAATGGGTTCTGAAACAATAAACGCTGATGTGCAAGCCTTGTTCAGGTGTCTTGAACAGGGAGATTCACCCGGCTGTAACCTTTCAGGGCGAGGAGTCATTGCCATCGCCACAACTGAAAGAGAATAAACTATACTACTACTACTACTACTACTACTACTACTACTACTACTACTCCTGCTACTACTACTACTACTACTACTAATATTGTTTTTATTATGCTCCACCTCTATTTTCCATCTTTCATGAGGTATGGTCAAGCTGTTTAGCAGAGCAGGTTGAAAAGCCTTGCTTCAGAAACTCTAGGCCATGGCGACCATGGCCACGGATGCCTCATTTATATAGCTGATGCACAAGAGTGAAGAATGATAGCCAATGATACTGGTAGCTGATAGACGGCATGGGTCCCTGTTTTTTTCAGTTGCTCAAAGTATCAGAATGCAGCGTCAAGGAGTTGGTCTACAGCTGCAGGGTTCACTTGGCAAAACTATCCCATGATGCGCAACTATCCATCAACTCCCTAGGTTACAACACCCGCAAATTGGCAATGCAACATGGGTCAATACAGGTCAATACAAGACAAACTCTGCAGTCAATTCATTCATAGAATATGCTTTTAGATCGCTGACCTGTACTATGTATATATATATATATTTGTATTGGAAACCTCGCTTTGACAATTTTGGTTCATTTGTGGCATAACCTTGGTTGACTGCTTTGCTGCCGTGCATAATGGCTGATCGCCCGTGTATTGTGCTGTTGTGTGCTCTGTGCTTTGGTTTGCGCTATTTCCTGTGCTTCTCAATCACTCACCTGACGTTCATGTGTATTTCTTTCCCCTTGCCATACCCAGTCAAGGGGCTGGTCAGGGGGCGGCGACGGAGATGTCAAGTGGGAAAGAGGACCCCCCCAAAACTATGTTTATTTTGGGTCAACCAAAGTCCGGCAGTTTTATTTCATGAGTGATCGACGGAGAATGCCTCTGCCCTGCTCTGACTGTGTTTGACCGATCCTGGGACATACTCCTTGCGCAGGCTCAGCCTCAGCAGTTTGTCTGGCCGGAAACCGCCCAGCTCCTTTGTCTTGGAAGGGTGTAGAAAGAGTAGGGAGCGGAGTGGAGAAGATCACGTAGAGGAGGCCAAGATTGGCATGATGCGTGTTCTGCAAGGCAAGGAATTTATGGTGATCAATTCCACATAATTTTCTTACTTAAGATACCACCACTTTGGCAACATGGTTTTGTAGTTTACAAGTCAGCTTGGCCCTTGTCAAGCTTCCATACCCAGGCCTGACATGCCTCAAATGAGCGGAGATGGCTCCGGTTTGGGCCTCAGTGCACAGGACATTAGTGAAGCAATGGAACCCTTCAAACATCTCTTCAAGCCCTGAAATAGCCTTGAGCCTAACAGCAATGGCCTCCAACCTACTAGTGACCTACTTGATGGCCTCCAGCCTAATAGCCATGGCCTCCAACCGAATAGCGATGCCCTCCAACCTACTAGCGACGGCCTCCAACCTATATACTAGCTATGGCCTCCAACGTACTAGCGATGGCCACCAACCTACTAGCGGTGGTCTCCAACCTACTAGCGATGGCATCCAAGCTATTAGCGACGGCCTCCAACATAATATCGTTGGCCTTCAACCTACTAGCAATGGAATCCAATCTACTAGCGATGGCCTCCAGCCTACTAGTGATGGTCTCCAACCTATATCAACCTATTAGCGATTGCCTGCAACCTACTAGTGATGGCCTTAAACCTACTAGCGATGGTCTCCAACCTACTAGCGATGGCCTCCAACCTAATAGCGATGGCCTCTAACCCGCTAGCAATCGCCTCCAACCTAATAGCGATGGCCTCCAACCTAATAGCGATGCTCTCCAACCCACTAGCAATGGCCTCCAACCTAATAGCGATGGCCTCCAACCCACTAGCGATGGTCTGCAACCTACTAGCAATGGCCTCCAACCTACTAGCGACGGCCTCCAACCTAATAGCGATGGCCTCCAACCCACTAGCAATGGCCTCCAACCTAATAGCGATGGCCTCCAACCCGCTAGCAATGGCCTCCAACCTAATAGCGACGGCCTCCAACCCACTAGCGCGATGGTCTCCAACCTAATAGCGACGGCTTCCAACCTAATTAGGCTTGAGACATGTTTTCTCAGGGGTGGAGCTGTTGGAGCTGGAGCAACTTCGAACAATTCCGTTTTCCATTCGCCCGTATTCGCTCTTCGAGGCTTTGAAGATTGGTCAACGTGGAATTGGCCTCAAGGCTCATCGAAGCCGGAGGATCTATGTAAGACTTGTGACTTTGCCTAGTCGTCAGACAGGTGAAACAGAAAGCTACCTTGGCATGGTTTGTGCCTCAGGATTCAGCTGGAGACGAGGGTGCTATCGTCTCATGAGTTTTAAACATGTTTTGTCCAAACATAGCATTTGTTGAGAAGGAGTGTGCTTCGGGAGCATCGACATGGGGATACATTTGGTAGGCAATATATTTGTCTCGCATGAACTTACGACATCTTACAACCACACAGAACTTGTGGACCGTGATGGACCCTGCACTTTTGGATCTGCAGACTGCTCAGGCACCTCAAGATGGCTGGTCAATGGAGAGGTATGACGAGGCGATGCAACATTGTGATACATTGTGAGGAATTTCACATGCCTTAGTCAAGCATGGTAGGGCTTAATTGAAAGATATTGAAGGTGCCAGAAGAACGATGAGGCTTAACCTGTAAGCAGAAAGACTCGATATATTATAGAGACAGTATTGAAGACCATGGAAGAAAGATGTGCATATTAGTAACAAGAACGCTACTAGGGGCTCCTGGCATCGCTACTAGGAGCGGACTCCGCTGAACGGGATTGCAGGCATGAGACCACGAGGAGAGGAGATCCGAGGCAAACTTCTAACCACAGCCGCACAGCCCGGCACAGCCCAGCACAGCCCGGCACTGCGGATTTCGGATGTTTGTATAAGGAACGCATAAGTCGACTCGACCCCGGAGTGAAGGTTTCACGATTTTTCTCAGCTTCACTCCCTCTTTGTGCATCTGTGCACAATAGCACGGTGTGCACTTTTCAGGGAAGAGGGCGGTAGTTGAGTTGGGCTGTACACTACGTCGACGTGTGTCAAATTACCGCAGATTTGGGATTGAGGGAAGCAATCCCAGGGCACTTGCGAAGAAAAAGCCTGTGCAGAATCCTTGGAATTGTTTGTGTCTACTTTCAAAGTCTGACATTTTGTAACACCACCATGGCAACCAGTGCAATGAAAGCCCTTGGTTCAGTACTCCAGGACGATCTTTTGGTCTGGACAAACATATGAATGATATAGGTGTAGATGACGATCACCATGCTCACTTTGCAAGTTGCTGACAGCATGACCTTGGACCTTGGCATTCAATGCTGTTCAAGGCTGTCGCAGCTGTGGTCTTACATAAGTGCCCTCAGTTGATCCACTCGCTCAAGCTATGGCATGTAACAATACATGATAAGTATATACAAATATATACAATTATATAATACATGACAAATTGTTTGACATGATACAGTTACAGTATGTGTTTCTATAAATGATAAGTTTCCACTTGTTTCTTTTGCTGGAAAACGTTCACAAATGTTGCATATTGTATACACTAACATTTGCTTATCGCGTGCGCCCAAAATGGGTCTTCCCAACGCTCTTCAAGATCTCGAGCAATTGGACCCCACCATTGCCGCTTCCTGGAAGATTTGAAGATGCCTTGATATTTTTCCCGAATGCGTAGCGAAGGGTTCCCGTTTATAGTTGGGGGTCTGGGGGTTGGAGCGCTTGCGTCCTCTCGTCGTCTGTCGTCGTCTCTCGTCGTCTCTCGTCGTCGTCGCGTCTC